TTCTTTTCTTGTCAACTGTTGTGTATAGTGTTTGTCGCTGTATTGTCCCTCTCCGTATTGCCTCTCTCTCATCTATTATACGCATGCTCATTGTAAATACATCCGTCTTTGTCTTGACCCACAAGGGACTCCTGCGTGGCACCAAGCGAACACAACATAGTGGCAGCTTTGGTTCCTACACCTGTAGAATTAGGAAAGAACCATCCGCCTCTAGACAGCAGTTCGAGCATCCCCAGCTCCGGGACAGTCTCGTCATCGTCGTCATCGTCATGTGTCGTCGTCAGTCTGAACATTTTGTTAACACTAAATGTCAGTCCAGTCATGCCCGGCATGCACTACGCTCTACTTGTTTTGTTCTCCTCGTGAACTCTATTCTTCATCAGCTGTCACGCCACTGCTCCTTGTCTCTCCTGACCATCGTCCAGCCAGTTCGTCGTCCCGCATGCTCTATGTCTCGGCACCTCCAATAAGCCTGCTGTTGAGCACTGATCGCCATGTCCCCATGCCGTGCTCAACTGATCCGTCTGGCAGAGATAGAGATGTCACGGTACCTACGTGCCTCGGCCTTGAGCGTTCTGGATCGACTCTGACTCATGAAGGAAGGAACTGTCAGGCCCATGGTTAGCTCTAGCTCATTCTCTCTTTGTGTTTCATTTGTTTTGTTTTGACCTGTTCACTTGCAGTATATGTACATTCTCAAGCGTACATCACTGAACAGCAGACGTGCAGACATTCTCACGCAGTAACATCTTGTTCTTTATGTTGCTGTAGCCCAACCAGACGTTGTACCTCTCTGCGATGGCCTTGCCAAACAATGAGAATCCTGGACGCGCGTGCTTCTTTATTCACTCTGGATCTCTTCATTTTTTGCCTCGAAATTCTTCATTAATTGTTTCAAACAAAATCATACTCTCTAGTGTAGCTGTGCAAATGCTAGGCATGCCCTGCCACTTACTGTATGTTGTGTAGGCCCTAGCTCGTCTCTCAATCTCGTTGATTTGCACTATTTAAATATATAGTATTTTCCTTGTTCCTTTTTCTTCCCGGAAAAAGGATATTTTGTATACATACGTCTTTTCTCCCCCCCCCCCCTTCTTCCCCGGAAAGGGAGATGTTGCGTATAGTGTTTGTCGACGTATTGTCCCTCTCCTTATTGTCTCTCTCTCATCTATTATACGCATGCTCGTTGTAGATAATCAGTCTTTGTCTTGTCCCACAAGGGACTCACGCGTGGCACCAGGTGGACACAACATGAACTATTTGAAAAGAAACGCGCGCGGTGACGCGAAACATAGAAATAACCTGGTGTGGCCTAATACACATGAAATAGGAATCCTAGGACAGAACGTAATACGGTTTTGTAAAGCAAATAACTACTAGATGTAGGAACCTGTAGGACACGTCACTCACCTTCATTAGTGAAAGTGGATTGTGAGCAACACTGGCTCACGTAGAATCATATCAGGAAAATATTTTATTGTTTCCGTCATAAAAATTCCCATCATCAGAAATGATAATAACAACAAGGACATCAAGAATGAATTTGGACATGGACACTGTTCTTACTCGAACATGCCTCCGGATAGCACACGACTCGTTGTTTTAGAAGACTGTATTATAATGTTTTACTCTGACTCTGGTGGAAATCATCTTGCAGTACAAAGGCAAGTTCTGCCTCTCTCGAAGCAGAAGCGGAGATTCAAAAAACATTCAAATCAAAAGATCGCGCGAAAGCAGTGTACGCGACTACGCGCATCAGACGTGAATACAACATGAGAAGTGAAAGCAGTGTACGCGACTACGCGCATCAGACGTGAATACAACATGAGAAGTGAAAGCAGTGTACGCGACTACGCGCATCAGACGTGAATACAACATGAGAAGTGAAAGCAGTGTACGCGACTACGCGCATCAGACGTGAATACAACGTGAGAAGTGAAAGCAGTGTACGCGACTGCGCGCATCAGACGTGAATACAACATGGGAAGTGAAAGCAGTGTACGCGACTACGCGCATCAGACGTGAATACAACATGAGAAGTGAAAGCAGTGTACGCGACTACGCGCATCAGACGTGAATACAACATGCGAAGTGAAAGCAGTGTATGCGACTACACGCACCAGACGTGAATACAACGTGAGAAGTGAAAGCAGTGTACGCGACTACGCGCATCAGACGTGAATACAACATGAGAAGTGAAAGCAGTGTACGCGACTCCGCGCATCAGACGTGAATACAACATGAGAAGTGAAAGCAGTGTACGCGACTACGCGCATCAGACGTGAATACAACATGAGAAGTGAAAGCAGTGTACGCGACTCCGCGCATCAGACGTGAATACAACATGAGAAGTGAAAGCAGTGTACGTGACTACGCATATCAGACGTCATTACAACATGACAAGTGAAAGCAGTGTACGCGACTACGTGCATCAGACGTGATTACAATGTGAGGAATGAAAGCAGTACAGCGTACGCGACTACACGCACCAGACGTCAGCTGATGTGAATACAACATGAGGAGCGAATGCGTAGTAGTATGATAATGCAAAACAGTACAACAAGCAGTGCTGATATACACATTAAACGGAGTGGCTCTGCACCATAATCAGTGGGCTGGATATGGACTGCACATATCCCCCTTCCTGCTCGAATGGCATAGTGGAAGGAGAATGATCAATGAGTGCAGAACAAAGATTAGAGAGATTATTGATGTAAACAGGAGAAAGAGAAAAGAGAGAGAGAGAGATTTCACTTGGCAGGCACCTTCGGCTTTACCTCAAGTGGAACCAGCAAGTAGGTCGGACGCCGATACGTTTTGCCTTTGACGAGGATGTCCACCACACGCACGAGACCATCTCCACCGGGGAAACCATCCACCACTTTGCCGAGAGGCCACATTCCACGGGGAGTGTCCTGGGCCATGTACAATACCATGTCACCAACCATTATGTTCCGTCTGCGCATTCTCCAACGTTGTCGGATATTAAGCGTGGGCACAAATTCCTTCAACCAACGTAGCCAGGTGTGATCCACAGCAACCTGCACAGCTTTCCACCGTCTCTGCGGGTGTGCGGGTCTCGTAGAAGCTTGTGCCGCTTCTATGGCCGTTTCTACCTGAATGTGGCCAATGAGGAACTGATGAGGTGTCAACGGGACGAGATCATCAGCATCTGATCCAACTGTGGTCAGTGGCCGGCTGTTCAACAAGGCCTCTGCCTGAACGAAAGGCAGTTTGCAGCTCTTCATCAGTGAAGTTAGCAGAATGCAGTATAGCGAACACTGCTCGCTTGGCTGACCGGACAAGCGCTTCGAAGAAGCCGCCATGGTGTGGTGCCCGGGGTGGGTTGAACGTCCACGACGTGTGCTGTTTTGTCGCTGTACAGGTGACCACTTGACCTCGGTCAATAGCTTCAAGGGCATCACACAGCTCACTTTCGGCACTCACAAAGTTTCTGCCGTTGTCTGACACTACTAGATGTGGTGCTCCGTGGCGCTTACAAAATCGGTCAAAAACGCATCGTAGGCCATCTCTAAATGGCATGCTCGTGTCTCCAGACATGTGAAGAGGCAGAGATAGCACTTCAATTGTGAGCTTCCACGACCTTGACGGGTTAGGAATGGGCCTGCGAAGTCTACTCCAACATGCTGGAAGGCCTGCTTGGTCATAGCAACTCGAGCGGCAGGAAGTTGGCCCATGATCTGGTCTGCAGGCTTCCGCCACTGCCGAATGCAGCCATTACATCGTAAGCGATGCGATTTGTTCACTTGTTTGCCTTTGATCAGCCAATACGAAGTTGTCAGGTTGGCCCACAGATGATTCGTGTCGACGCATGGTGGGTTTTGCGATCCTCATTGGCAATGATGAGGTCAGATACTGGATGCTGATACGGCAGTATCAGTGGCTGCCTCGTACCTTTCGACATTGCTGATGCCTGCTCCAGCCTGCCTCCAACGCGTAGTACAAATGGCCGTTCAGCGGTGTCTAGGACTGGATTGAGCCGGAGCAAAGGGTCCGAGGGCTTAACACTTTTCTCCCCCTGTAAGGTCGAAATAGTGGCCGAGTAACACTCCTGCTGGGCAATGCTGATCCAGTGCCGTTCTGCTCGCTGTATTTCAGTTGCCGACAGTTCGGGAACTGCTACATTCTCTGCTGACGACACTGCTATACGAGAGACCGCATCACTGCCCTCAGGTTCTTCCCCCTTCTTGGCACCTCGGCAGTTTGAGGAGAACTGGAATATCCAAGTCGTGACACGCTTCAGTCAGTTCCAGGATGAAAAGTGGCTTCGGCGACAAACGTCAGCGCTTGGTGTTGCTTAGTCTCTCCTAGAAGCTTGCTTGAGATGGTGATATCGCGTTGCGGCCACTCGGTCGATGGCTTGGACAGAAACTCTGGTCATGTCCACCATGTGCTGCTCGTTGCTAGCGAGGTGGCTGGCATTGCTCGTGTGGGTAGGTCTGCCGGGTTGATTTTACCGGGCACATGTTGCCATTGCAGAGGTGATGTGGCACGTTGAATCTCCGAGATTTTTATACCGATGTCTGTGCTGAATCGTCGGCTGTGGGATCTCAGCCAGTACAACACATTGAGGCTGTCCGTCCAGAAACGGTACTCGGTCAATGGTATCTTCAGCGCTGCTTCCAGCTCTTTACTTAGCTGTACTCCAAGGACTGACACTACTAGACGTGGTGCTCCGCGGCGCTTACAAAATCTGCCAAAACACATTATAGGCCATCTCTAAATGGCATGCTCCTGACATGTGAAGGGGCAGAGATAGCGCTTCAATTGTGAGTATCCACGACCTTGACGGGTTAGGAATGGGCCTGCAAAGTCTACTCCAACATGCTGGAAGGCCTGCTTGGTTATAGCAACTGGAGTGGCAGGAAGTTGGCCCATGAGCTGGTCTGCAGGCTTCCTCCACTGCCGAATGCAGCCATTACATCGTAGGCGATGCGATTTGATCGCTTGTTTGCCTTTGATCAGCCAATACGAAGTTGTCAGGTTGGCCCACAGATGATTCGTGTCGACGCATGGTGGGTTTTGCGATCCTCATTGGCAATGATGAGGTCAGATACTGGATGCCGATACGGCAGTATCAGTGGCTGCCTCGTACTATCCGACATTGCTGATGCCTGCTGCAGCCTGCCTCCAACGCGTAGTACAAATGGCCGTTCAGCGGTGTCTAGGACTGGATTGAGCCGGAGCAAAGTGTCCGAGGGCTTAACACTTTTCTCCCGCTGTAAGGTCGAAATAGTGGCCAAGTAACACTCCTGCTGGGCAATGCTGATCCAGTGCCGTTCTGCTCGCTGTATTTCAGTTGCCGACAGTTCGGAAACTACTAAATTCTCTGCAGACGACACAGCTACACGAGAGACTGCATCACTGCCCTCAGGTTTTTCCCCCTTCTTGGCACCTCGGCAGTTTGAGGAGAACCGGAATATCCCAGCCGTGACACGCTTCAGTTGGTTGCAGGATGAAAAGTTCTCGGGACGCAGTTTAGATACAGTGGCTTCGGCGACAAACGTCAGCGCTTGGTGTCGCTTAGTCTCTCCTAGAAGCTTGTTTGGGACGGTGATATCGCATTGCGGCCACTCAGTCGATGGCTTGGACAGAAACTCTGGTCATGTCCACCATGTGCTGCTCGTTGCTACCCAGGTGGCTGGCATTCCTCGTGTGGGTAGGTCTGCCGGGTTGATCTTACCGGGCACATGTTGCCATTGCAGAGGTGATGTGGCACGTTGAATCTCCGAGATTTTTACACCGATGTCTGTGCTGAATCGTCGGCTGTGGGATCTCAGCCAGTACAACACATTGAGGCTGGCTGTCCAGAAACGGTGCTCCGTCAATGGTATCTTCAGGGCTGCTTCCAGCTCTTTACTTAGCTGTACTCCAAGGACCGCTCCATTCAGCTTGAGCTTTGGGATACTTAGCTTCTTGATGGGAGTTTGCCGCGACTTAGCGAATGCCAGTGTCACCTTCACGCGTCCGTCTGGATATTCAGAACGGACGCAGCAGGTTGCTGCTGTAGCTGCATCCGATGCATCGATGAATGTGTGAACTTCTGTCTTCACGCAGGTTGGATCCGCATCGGTGTACTTGAAACATCGGTCAGCGTGGATCTGTGCCAGGTCGGGTAACTCTGATAGCCTGCGCTTCCAACGGGCCGTGTCGTCGTCATTCAGCTGCTCGTCCCAAGCATATCCAGCGACACATGCCTCCTGAAACAGTACTCGTGCACGCATCGTATCTGAAAGTAAAATACGTCCTTGTCAGCAAACCACATGACGCCCAGGGTCTTAGACGATGGTAGAGTGCAGTGCTGGTTACTGTTGACACCCAGGGACGCCTGCGGGGTTTTGTCGGCTTCTGGCACAGACTCAACCACCTCGGTAGAGTTGCTTAGCCACTTGCGAAGCTTGAAACCACCAGACTGTAGTAGCTGTGTCAGTTGTTGTTGGGCATCTATTGCCACAGAAGCTGACTGGAAGGAGTCCAGAAGATCGTCGACATAGAAGCTCTCCTCGATCACTTGGAGAAGGTCGTTGCTGCGCATCGAGTCGGTCGCGAAATCTTGTGCAGTTTGCAGTAGAGCCTTGCCGGCGAGATAGGGTGATGCTCTTAGGCCGAAGACCAACCGGTTAAACTCATACACTTGTATATCATCGTCTGGGCTGGCATGCCACAGAAACCGAGTGAACCGCTGATCTTCTTCTTTGAGCCCTACTTGCATAAACATCTCACTGATGTTGGCAACGAGAGCTACTGGTTCCGCAGAGAACCGCAACAGGATGCGAACGATGTCGTTCTGTAGGCGTGGTCATGTGCACATTTCTGCGTTGATGCTGCGACCTTTCCAGACAGCAGCGACATCAAACACAACACGAATCTTGTTGGTGCTCTTGTCCTCCCGGTCGATTGGGAAGTGTGACAGGTACCACTGGTGCTGGTAGTCTGCTGCGGCGATGGCTTCAGGCACAGTCCGGATGTACCCTTTCTCCAGATGTGCTGCAAGAACGCGGTGATATTCTGCCTGGATCGCTGGCTTGGCTGACAGGGTTTTTTCTAGACCTCTCAAGCGCTGTTCAGCTTGAGCGCGGTTTGATGTGATGTTCGGACCAGTTGGGCGGATCCCGGGAAGGCCGATTTCGTACCGCTGCCCATCATGGTGCATAGTAGCCGTGGCCAGTTCCTCCGCTTCACGTTCTGCTGGTGTGCGGTATCGCTGGTCAGCGTTTACAACACTGATGGACTCAGTGTCCCATAGGTTGAGGACGAGCTCATCCAGACGCGGTTCTGTGCCAGAGGAGGTCATCTCTGATCGTACAGCGGCAGTGGCACAGTTCGTGATGATAGACTGGGACGTCTTGGTGCTTGTACCTCTGGGGCCATAGCAAACCCAACCGAGCGGGGTCCGACAGGCAATCGGCGCATCATCGGGGCCTCATAGCTCTTCCAGTGCTGTGTGGAGTGGCGCAGCATCCACACCAATCAGCAGACCAATGTCGCCGGTGTTCATAGTTGGGAATGGTATGCCGTGCAGATGAGTCCAGGCATCTTGGTGTTGACACCAGTCGACTGCCATGGTGTCAGCTGTGACGCATGGCAGAACCCAAGCGCTGATCTGATGGGTCAAGCTGCAGTCTGTACTTTTAATGGTCACCGGTGTACGTCGGCGCATGGCTTCAATCTGGCTGCCACCGAGTGTGGTCACTTGGAGCGGTTCCGGATCTCCAGTCAAACCGATAGCTTCAGCCACTGCGGCTTTGATATATGTGCTGGTGGATGCAGGATCAAGTAGTGCTCTGCATACGGTTTCTTGACTTCCGTTGCAAACTGTGACCGGAACTGTCATGAATGATATGGCAGGGAGAGACGTTTGTCGTGGTTGAAAGCGGCACGCATGCAGAACCTGCTCCTTGACAGGTACCTTGCCCTGAATGTTACTGCTATTAGACTGCTTCTGCTGAAGCTTGTTGCTGCTGAACTTGTCGAAATACAGCAGTGCATGGTGCTTGCCGTTGCACTTTGTGCAGGTGGACCCACTACAGGACATGCTATGGTGGCTGGGTCGCAAGCAGCAAATACAGAGAGGTGTGGGTTTCACTAAATCCCAGGGTTCTCGTACTGACATTGCTGTGAAGGCAGGGCACTGGCTCAGGAGATGATAACCATCACACTTGAAACAGGCATTGGGAGTGTCCGCTGGCTTACCCCTCGAGGCATGGAATGCATGTTGGGTTGCGTGCCGGCCTGAGCTGGGTGCTCTGCTGTGGACGTCGTATGGCTCGCGGATAGATGCTGTGGCGGCTTCTCTGGGCAGTGCGAGGCGCGCATCCACCTGCTGTGCTCTGTGCACCTGCTTCAGCAGCCAGGTAGACAACACCTCCGCATCACAGCTATGGTCATCATACCGATCCAGGAATCGGGACAGCATCCGTCTTTGGAACTTCTGAGACACTGCTATGTACAGTTCGCGTCCGGGTGCGACGTTGGCCATTTTCAGGTTAAGCAGGACGTTTCTCAGCTTCACTGCGAGTCGCTGCAAAGCTGTTGTGTCATCTTCCCGAGAGATCCGGGGACTGGCCAATAATTCCTGCTGTTGCCGTTCCAGCTCCCGGTTGTCGCCGCCAAACCACTGGTCGAGCTCGTTCAGCTCGGCACTGTATGCCCAGGGCCGTCCAGAATGCCACTGACAAGTTCTTCAGCCTTCCCACCATCCAGTGCCTCACGCAGTGGTGCCATCTTATAATCCTCTGTTGAAATGAGATCGTCGTCTACGAGACGCATGAAGCGCTGGCGCCATCGAAGATAGCTCTCCTGTTGGCCATTGAATTTGGGCAGTTCCAGCGGCTTTATCTGGAACTGCGGAATACCAACATACCCAGCACTGTGTGGCACACTGTTTACCCAGTTCTGAACGTATCGTGCAGATGCAGTGGGATCCTCTGGACCATGTGGATGGGTGGCTGGATTCTGTGCGCTCACAGACCGGTGTGGCGCATTAGAGTCAAGGTGTGTTCTACTGGCTGCACCAGCCTTTGCTGGCTTGAAGCTCCTGGCTGCAGCATTCATGATAGGTGGACGCTTGGCCTGTACACAGTGTACAGGATGTTGTGGTGGTGACCTGACAGGTCTTGTCAGCTCAGACTACGGTACGACAGTTACCGCAGGTTTGACGCAATCTCCTCTGTGATTGCTCAAACTAACGTTACTGCGTCTTCGGCTGTCAGACTCCACTTCCTGCACTGAATGCTCCTCCACAGCGTTCATTTATCCAGAACTGCAGTTGAAGATCGAGAGAGCACCGCTACGATTTGCGCGCACACTTGTAGTTGAGGAGCGATGTGAGCTGTGATGTGAGCTATGTTGGCTGCTGTCGTTCGGTGCACTTTCCTCACCGGATAGCCTAGCTAGGTCCTCGGCCAACTCCAGCTCCACCAGTCTTTTGTCTTTTTGTGCCTTGCTGGTGGAATGCCTTTTAATCTCCTGCTTTTTTGAACTCACCGTTCGCTCTCAGTCCGCCATCCGGCTCGAAGGACAGGGGCGTCACCTGTGATGGGCATTGGGGGCACGTGCACCCCCCAAAAATCGACCTTGGTTTTTTGCGAACTCCTGGTTATGAAAAGTGTAGTGCTGGTAAAATCTACTAATACTTAATAGTACAGTGGGTATCGGTTATAGCGTGGGTGTTTGAAAAACGACTTTCTATTCTTATTTCCGATATTTCTTACACACGATAAATCAAGTGTGACATATCATGTGCATGTGCGCAGAGGCAGGAAGATCATCGTACATACAAGGTAGTGCTGCTGTGCATGCGGCTGGTCACAGTCACATAGGCTTACCATGTGGCTATGCAACATGAGTTACATGAACACAATAGTTGAACCTGCAGCACTAGGACCCAACGCGAGTCAGATCAGAACTGCTTTGGACGGATGTTATTACTACAGGCGATATACTTTGTACTGATCTGGCATGTTTCGCTACACAAAGTCCATTCTTAGGACCGATATATTCTACTTTATCACTCCCTTAGTATTGACTCACATAGATTTTTGCCATACCTAAGCAGTCAAATATTCCTGCATATTTCACTCCTTAGGGCTATATTGACTGCTTATATTTGACTACTTAGGGGTTGCGCAGTTGAACGGTGCCTAGTGCAGCATTGTCACTGCATGAGTAGGTGGTGGTGCAACGGCTGTGCAATCATTAAACCGGGATTCATGAGGTTATCGTTGTGAAATTTGAAGTACGGACTGTTTGTCGTTATAAATCTAATATTGACTTCGTACTTGGTCAGCATAGGAAATAAAAACCTCGTAAAAGACCTCGGCTTCGCCTCGGTCTTTTACTCGGCTTTTATTTCCTATATTGACCTCGAACTCAGTCAATATTAGATTTGTATGTTAGAGTCAACTCGTAAAAACTCCAAGTCCATCCCGGCCTGCCTACGTCATTGTGGCACGGTCTGAATCTAGGTGCATTATTTTAGTATGAAGTACAATTTCAAGGAAAGCTGAGCTATTCCAAACAATTCTTTGTACCCAGCAATGAAGGCAGCAATGCTGAGGTCAGTGAAGACCACCATCAACCGACCGCTGCGTATGGTTGGGGCAGGGAGCCCAGATACTCTGCCGAGGAGCTGCCATCGCGTTTTGAACACATGTTGAGGAAGAAGATGCCTCGGCAGCTGTGTCCGACAGAAGACGAGTAGCTTGGCCACCAGAATCTCGAATCGTTTGGGACTTCGGCTGGTGCGAGCGTGGACAAAAATCGAGGCAAGGCCTAACAGGTGTAGTAGGCTTGTGCTCCTGGCTGACTGCAAGCCATAGCAGAATTGCAGCAGGAGCTCCGTGTTCCTCTTCATCATGCTCAACGAGCCATCCATTACTGATCCAGGAGTCCACTTCTTGCTGGAACAGCTTCTCCTGATCATCACTAAGTTTCTGGGGTACTCCCCAATGCCGCTGCCGATGCGTCCGGTAAGTGGCTTGTCATCCTTCCACCTCCATGCTGCCTGCCAACACTGCTCAGCTGCTAGCCACTTTATCTGACCATACTCGAAGGATAGCGTCACGTCCTCACCGTCTTGCACCACGCTAACATGCCGAGACGGGTGCTGATCTGGCGACTGCACAGCATCACTCACGGCAGATGACACAGGCTCAGAGTCACTAGCGGTTGACGAACAAAACAACACGGACTGCAGATCACCTGACTCAGAGTACTGCAACCTGACGCCACCAATGGCACGGACAAGGTGAGATCTCAGCAACAGGTCAGCATTAATAACGGACAGCTCAGAAACTACAAACGAAACAACACGGGTAGGCGGTAAATTTACGGGTCCATCCAGGTGACGAATCGTTAATGAAATTGACCCCGAAATCGGCAGGACTCCGCCATCCAGGGCGAGGAGCTTCTCCTGCTTTACCGCCGACACTTGGCTGCACATCTTAGCCGCACGTATAAATGTAGACGACTCTAGCGTGCGAGCCGACCCGGTGTCCAGCATGGCCTCTCCACGGCGCCAGTCATCCGGCTTGACCGACTCCACGTCCACATAGATCCTCGGCATGGGGCAGCTTCAGTGGACAACGCACACAGGCGCTTGTCACTGCTACTCTGCGACGTACCAGCAGCCGCCACACATTCTGCTGCCTTGGCGTCTCGCCACTTCTTTCTCTCATAGCACGCTGGCTTTGCATGCCCATGCTGGTCACAAAAGTGGCACACTACTGGTCCACGGAAACAAGGCTTCTGCTTCTTCTTGAGCTCTAGGCAGTTAACTCTCTGCCTGAACCTGCTCGTGTAACGAGCATCCGTCTCACAGGCTCTAAGGCCACGTATACGCTGTAGACAAGCAGGTATCGTCAGTTCTTGGCCAGCCAGCGACATTCTCAGCTGACGGCCAAATTCGAGCAGCAGGACAGGGAACAGTTGCTCGATCACGATCGGATCCTTGCTGGTGTCACCGCCCGGTTTGTGCCCCGACAGCGCTGCAAAACGCTGCAAATCGGCCACATACGAGTCGACACTTTCATCCACACGCAAACAACGGCGCTTGAACAAATCATACGCTCTGGATGGCGTCACACTGAACGCACTCACTAAAACGTTCTTGACCTCTGCTTGTTTGCTTTTGTCACTGTCTGCCATACGAGCAAACACTCGAAATGCTGAGTTTACTTTCACCTAGCGTTGGCTGAATTCCAATTATCAAGGTTCGTGAAGTATTTGTCTTGTGCAGTTAGCAATCTTCAGATGTGACGTTAGACGTCCGTGATGACTTCCTTGATGACTTGTTGGCTTTCACTTGGCGTCGACTTTTCACCTATCTATGTCACCGCCTCAGTACTCTTTGTGACATTTAGATTAGCACAACCTATTCCTGTGTACTTGTGATTGTGGTGTTTGGTAGGGTTCATAACACCTCCATTCTGCACTATTCCTTTTGTGTTGATTTGTCACATAATTATGTGAGTTAGTTGAGTGTTTACACCTTGCACCTGTGTCTTCTCTAATGAACCCTTCATTCAACAACTGCTTCTCCTCTGATGAGTTCCCCGTCAACTTTATGGAACGAAACAAGACTTGTCAGGAGTAATACTACTTGCTTTCGTGGAGTGTGGCTGGTGAACTGTTCGTGCTGTTGTCTGCAAGCGTCGTGTGGTCTCGTTGGGTCAAATGAAAAACCTATTACTACTATTTAACGGACCTATTGAAGATGGCAACAAAGAATTACAAACTGTTAGTTCGCCATCTTCTGTACACTGTTTCTTAGTACATCCTTTCTCTTGCTGGTCTGCACCCCGTACACAAAGCTTGCCGAGTTCCTGTATAGCAGCTGCTTGTGCACCTGTATTGGTCATAGGCACTCAGGCCATTTATCTACATTGTAGTTCTCCCCCTTGCTCACTCTCATTCTCCCCGTCTCTCTTGCCGTGATCAATCATGTAGTCATTTGTCTCTCTGTCTCTCCCTTAGCCCTTTCCCCGATACGCAAATATCTTCAATGTTCCTTCCTCTCCCTACTCCAGGATCAAGAAACACCATTGCACTTAGCCTGTAAATACGGCAACCCGGAGGTTATAGAATTTCTGCTTCAAAAGGGTTCAGATCTTTTTGCCTTGAGCAAGGTAAGTTACACTTTTAGTTAATGTGGCAGCATGGAGATAATAATCATAATATGCCGATGAATAGAATCAAGTGCGCACTCGTATCATAAACATTGCAACCAAAGATGTTATAAAGGGGAACTCCACGGAAAAAATGAAACTTTCATATCCTGTAGAGTCTGCGGTGCTGAGTCGAATTGTCTTGGTCCGAAGTCTCTACGACAAAGCGTTCTTGAGATATTTCACTTTGCAATTGCAAAAACTGGGCCCACGCCATGACATCATGTGGACATTTGGCTATGTCATCCCGGCCTGCCTACGTCATTGTGGCACGGTCTGAATCTAGGTGCATTATTTTAGTATGAAGTACAATTTCAAGGAAAGATGAGCTATTCCAAACAATTCTCTGTACCCAGCAATGAAGGCAGCGATGCTGAGGTCAGTGAAGACCACCATCGAACAACCGCCGCATATGGTTGGGGCAGGGAGCCCATATACTCTGCTGAGAAGCTGCCATCGCGTGTAACAAATGTTGAGGAAGAAGATGCCTCAGCAGCTGTGTCCGACAGAAGACGAGTAGCTTGGCTACCAGAATATCAAATCGTTTGGGACTTCGACTGGTGTGAGCGTGGACAAGGGTGTATAGCCATGCCCAGCCCGCGGGAATGATTTTTCTGGTAGGATGCTGCCGTCGCTGTCGAGAAGACGGCCCAAGGTTTCTTGCGTAGTGGACCTTGCAGATTACGAGATCGTAACCTTGCATTAGGCTGTACCCACCACTGCTCTTCAAGGTTATCTCGACATGCAGAAGCCGCCAATGCTAGTGACAGAAGAGTCTCACATTAGGTAAGCCTCAATTAGTTTGTCTTGACTTGTCTTGTGAGAATCGTGCATCAATATGATACGCTTATTTGTTGGAGAAATTTATTGTTGTCAGGCGCACTACAGTAGGCGTCGCACAAGATATACATTGTACTGGAAGTTATCATAAGTTCCTTGCATGACACAAAAAAAATTCTCTTTGCTCCGAGTACGTCTTGACTTGTCTTGTGAGGATTGATGTGCGTAATGTTTTGCGTGTAACTTACTTATTGTTGTCATGCATAGCACGAAAACATTGTACTGTAGTGCTAGTAGTATCACACGTTTTCATGCATGACTCAAACACATTAATTTTGTCTTTATCATCAAGATCTGCAAAGTATGGTAGTGTTCTGTTGGTGAAGAGAGCACTGCACACAGTTTATGAGCACCGTGGGTGCCTTTGATCATACCCGAACCCATACTTTATCGTTTCAAGCGATAGGCTTTGTCAATACACCCGTTCTCTAGTATACCATGTCATGCAACGTACAAGCGTGGGGTCAAGAAAGAGTACACCAAAATAATGCACAAATTCTGGCAGGAGAGTAAGACATCAGATTCTGTACTTTCTGACCAAGACATCTCTGTACTAGTAGGTAATCGAACGCGTCCTAATCAGAATTCATTCCCCAGATCATTGGAATTCAGTTTGAAATCAGCAATTATTGGAAATTCTACAAGAACCTCCATCTTTGTATCAGTGGACACTAAATTATTATGGCGCGCGCACTGAATATGCAGGTAGGTACCGGTAGGTGCAATACAGCGCATTTGTAGAGTAAATGAGTATTGACTACAGTATAGTCACTATAAATTATTACGGTCCAGCAATTTGGTATGTGTACAAGCACTCAGCATACACACTCCGTATGATATTCTATGTTTCTGTAGATCTCTACGCTATGCGGCACACAGGCAGTACACACTGTATGTACACGGCAAATTGGGCAAGCACGTTTGTTGTCGTCTTTCAGCCTGCGTTGTGAATACCATCAGGCAAAGATATCCAAATCCTGCACCACCTCAGCCTTCTCAGGAGGCTTCCACCTGGGATAAAGCAGGGAAACGGGCTTCTCCAAGGCAGGAACATCGAGGTTGCAATTTGCAACCGTTACCACCTCACACATGAGCTTGTCAACAATCTCGTAACTCTTTCTTTCGTATAAATTAAAAATTAAAAATTATCTATTTGGCCACTAAGTCTTCTTTATGCTTCAAGAACTGGACTTTATACCTTTCTATCGGGGTCTTTTTGGTTGTGCTGTGGCGACGGTTGACATTGACGTCGTCAAGAGCTGCGAGATGTGCGCGTCCAATCATCCCCAGAATTGAGAAACGAATGCGTTTCAGAATGTATTTTGGCATGGCACTGTGATATACCTGCATGGCGAAAAGAATGTCGAGGAAACACACTTGCTTAGACAATATACTATTAAGTGTTACAAACCACCAGTTCTCAAGTGGGAAAGGCCTTCTGGCTTATGACATTGTATTCGTTGCGATGTTGTATCTCGACTTCGCCGTACTGCTGATCTTTGCTGCATGGCGTAAGCTATTTATGCTGTGTGCGTTTTGCTGTATACGCTGTCATGTCATGTTTTACATGCATGTGCTTTGATTATACATGTACGCTGTTTTTGCATGCTATAAATAGCTGGTGTTATTAGTGTTAGTTATGGAGCATCTCATAAGTTCGCATTTTTTTTCTAAACGTAACGCATTTCGAAACGGTAGGGGGGTAGAGCCCTTTTCGAATAGAAAAATGACAGTTCGTAATCGCACATTTCCTGGATTTGTAGATGTACATACTGTTCATGCAGTGCATGTGCTTGATCGCTTCAGCAAATGAGCGTGTTTAGGTGTAGATCTATGTGCCTGTGTTTAGAGATCAGCCTTGCACTGCATGCATACAGGCTACTCAGAGGTGTCAAGTGTCACATCAGCAACTCTGTTTAGGTGCGTGTACATGTCATTCATTGTTCTTGTACTCAATACTGGATGCAGTACTGTATGCCATTCACTTTGACATTCATTATAATGTGCATGGACATGCACAGATCCACACGGAAAATGTGCGATAAGACTTTCAAATAGAGGGGGGAGGTAGGGGGTGAAGTCTATTCGAAATGTGTTACGTTTACAAATAAAATGCGAACTTATGAGATGCTCCCTTAGATTCAATGGAAGTCAAAATATACGGTTGAGAATATATAGTTGTCCTCGTGCCGTGTGATCGTTCGTTCCTGACACTTTAGAGAACCAGAGGGTTCATAACAGTTGGCGACCACGCCAGGATACGGAGCTAGCATGGCAGAGCAACTACATAATTTGGAAGCCAGCTTTATCGCCAATGGAGTTCGGTTAGGATTGGAAGGCGATGAGTTGAGGGAACATTTGAAGCAGAGGCTCCAACAGTACGGGCAGCGTGAGGAGCGCAGTGCCAGACGGCGAGAGGAGGCGCTCTGCACCGAGTTTGAAATAAGCTCAAGGAGATTAAGGAGCGCATCACCGAGGCGTATGAGGGTGAGGGCAAAGCCGCCAGTGAGAGTGCGATGGGAGGTACAGTGGAAGCTCCCAGTCACAGCGGTGTTCGTAAACCGTTGATGAAAATCCCCTCCTATGATGGAATGCAGCCAGGAGCATTATCTTGACCTGTTCGAGGACATCTGTTCCAAGAACGAGTTCGAAGAAAGCGAATGGCTGCTGCGATCGCGCATCACGCTAGCGGGTAGCAAAGAGGAGAGGACTCATGTATTGGATGCAATAATTGCGAGGAAGCAAAGAGAGAGTTGCTTGCCTCGCTCGGAAAGACTCCGGATAAAGCGTGGGAGACATTGCTGATAGGCAAGCAGCGGTCAGATGATTCTTTTCACCAATACATTGTCCATGTTTACCGAGAAGTAGAGGTAATACATGACGTGTTGGACGGAGCAGGTTACAGCAGGGAGAAACCGACTGAGATAGTAACGGACTCTGGACTCCGGCGCTGAGGCGTCATTTATGACTGCAGCGTTGGTGTCAGCAATCGATGCAGAACACGTTGGTGCTGAAAATGTAGAGGTGAAGCCGTTCGGCGCAGAGCCAACCCAACAGCGCATGGATAAATACGCCATCACAATCCAAGGTCGCTCCGCTAGCATTCCGTGAAACTAACGCTAGAGCTAGACCTGAAATGCGCGAGTCTGCAGACCATTTCTCAGTGGCACAGTTGGGAAGTAGAGCTGAGTGACAAGCCTCAGCAAGAAACATCAGACGAAATGCACATGCTGTTCGGTGCAGACTATATCAACGTAATACTGCACAGCAAGAAAGAAGTTAATGGCGAGACTGTGTGGAACACAGAGATCGGTAGTGTATTATCTGGTCCAGCGTCTGCACCCAGTGGAAACAGTCAGCCGGTGACCGTGTCATGTGTCACAGCCCATATCGAAAACTATGGCAGTTTTATCAACCTCCAGAGCGACATCAGCACTTGCCATCTTTCCTGCTATGTCGCCAGGGCGCCGGGTACCAAGTGGGTGTCTTGTGGTGAAATGAGCGTCGCCCAACGGATAACTATGCTCAAGCTAGAGTCATCACAACGCGGCTTCTGGAAAAGCTGAAGCGGAATGGGAAGCGTACGCTCAATGATGATGTGCTGATCAGGGACTACCGCGAGCTTGGAGCAATTGAGTTGGATCCATGTGAGAGCGATGCCGAGTACTATGTACCACATCATGGTGTATTCCGCGAGCACGCTGCAACCACGAAGATAAGAGTGGTGTTCAATGCCTCGGTGACGGCTCCAGATGGCAAGTCGATGAACGACATGGTTGACCCTGGACCGTCGCTATTGCCGAGTCTCGTGGGTATGCTACAGGGTTCCGTGAATATAAGAGCGCGCTGCAAGCGGACATCCGCAAGGCTTTCTTCATGGTCGCGGTTAATCTCGAAGACTGTTTGTACCTGCATTTCTTGTGGCCTGGTCGAAGCAACAGCGACGAACTGTTAACCTGGGGGCTAACGAAACTGCCATTTGGCGTAAATTACTAGCCATACATGCTTACTGCAGTGATTCAGCATCACTTGAAGGAGCTACGTGCGCTGTCTGCAACCAAAGAGCGAGACCGTATTGATCTCTTGCTCACGAGTTTCTACGCTGACGATTTGGTCTCTAG